CACTGCACTCCAGTCTGGGCAACAGAGTGAGACTCCAACTCAAAAAAAAAGAAAAAGTAATGGGAGCAGGACGTGGTTGCTTGCACTATAATTCCAGCACTTTGGAAAGAGGAGGCAAGAGGATTGCCTAAGCCCAGGGGTTTGAGACCAGTCTGGGCAACTGGGCGAGACCTCGTCTCTACAATAAATAAAAAATTAGCTGGGTGTGGTAGCGTGTGCCTGTAGTTTCAGCTACTTGAAAGGCTGAAGCGTGAGGATCGCTGGAGCTCAGCAGGTCGAGCCTGCGGTGGCCAGTGCACTCCAGTCTGGGCAATGGAGTGAGACTACAACTCAAAAGAAAAAAGAAAAAGAAAACTGAATATTGCAGGTTCTCACTTATAAGTGGAAGCTAAACGTTGAATACATATAGTCATAAGTATGGGAATAACAGACATTTTCCTAAAGTTGGAAAGGAAAGAGAGGGGTAAAGGTTGAAAAACCACCCAGGGAGTATCATGCTCACCACCTGGGTGACAGGCCCAATAGAAGCCCAGATGTCACCGTCATGCAATATACCTTGTACCTGCACATGTACCCCTTTAATCAAAAGTAAAACAATATAGCCGGGCTTGGTAGCTCAGCCTGTAATCCCAGCGCTTTGGGAGGCCGAGGTGAGTGGATTGCCTGAGCCTGCAGGTTCGAGACCCGCCTGGGCAACTTGGCGAGACCTCATATCTAAAATAAATCAAAAATTAGCCGGGCGTAGTAGTGCGCGCCTGTAGTTCCAGCTACTTGGAAGGCTGAGGCAGAAGGATCGCCGGAGCCCAGCAGGTTGAGGCTGCAGTGGCTGGGAGCGACCACTGCACTCCAGTCTGAGTGACAGAGTGAGACTCCAACTCAAAAAAAAAAAAAATTGAACAATGTAATAATAATAATACAAAATTTACACATATGTTGAAATAGCTTCATTTCTACTACCACCCCCTCCACACACACAAACACAAAAAAAAAAATCAGGGAAAGGGAAATAGAGGCCACCTTGGGCAACAGTGTGAGACTCCAACTCAAAAAACAAAAAAAGGATTGTTCAGATGCAGTAGCTCATGCATGTAATCCCAGCACTTTGAGAAGCCAGGCAGGAGAATTACTTGAGCCCAGGAGTTCATGACCAACCTAAGCAACATAGTGAGACCTAATCCCTACAAAAAAAACCAAAAAAATTAGCCAGGCATGGTGGTGCTCACCTGTAGTCCTGGCTACTTGGGAGGCTGACGCAGAAGGATCGCTTGAGCCCAGGAGGTTAAGTCTGCAGTGAGCTGGGATCAAACCACTGTACTCTGGTCTGGGTGACAGTGAGACCCTGTCTTGGAAAAGGAAAAAAAAAAATCAAAGAGTAAATAGTTTAAGATTTGCCAGCCACATACAGTCTCTCTCTCTCTCTTTTTTTAAACAACCTTAAAAAATATAAAAACTGGCTGGGTACAGTGGCACATACCTGTAGTCCCAGTTACCTGGGAAGCTGAGGCAGAAGGATAGCTTGAGCCTAGGAGTTTGAGGTTGTTGTGAGCCATAGTCATGCCACTTCACTCATCTGGGCAACAGAGAGGATCTCCAACTCAAAAAAAAACATGTAAAACCATGGTCAGGTGTGGTCCCTCACACCTGTAATCTTAGAGCTTTGGAAGATGAGGATTTGGGAGGATTGCTTGGTGCCAGGAATTTAAGACCATCCTAGACAGCATAGCGAGACTCTGTCACTACAAAAAAAAATAAAGTTAGCTGGGCATGGTGGTGTGTACTTGTGGTACCAGCTGCTTGGAGGCTGAAGTAGGATGACCACTTGAGCCTAGGAGTTTGAGGTTACACTGAGCTCTGGTCACCTCATTGCACTCCAGCCTGGATGACAGAGTGAGACCCTGGCTTAAAAAAAGATAAGAACATTTCTTTGCTTTAAGTCTCTACAAAAGCAGATCTCAGATTGGATTTGGCCTATGGATGCTATATGTAATCATATTCTTTTCTTTTTTTTTTATATTAATTTTTTTCTCACCCCAAGTGTGATTTAATTGGTCTGAGGTGAGGCAAGGCATTGGGGGCTTTAAAGAGCTTCCAGCTGATTCTAATGAGAAAGCTGGGAACCATCGATGCAGAGGTCAGATTAATGAGCAGTTAGAATAGAATGTAAAAGTGCTAAGAAAGAGGTATTACAAGGGACGCTGTAGAGGGCCCTGCCTCAGCCTGGGTGGAGGAGGGAGGTCAGGGAGTCTTCCTTGGGAGGTGACCTCTAGGCTGTTTTAGAGGATAAGTAGACAGCTATGCGGATATGAGAGCGATCTGGCTGCGACATCTGTCACCCCATTGATCGCCAGGGTTGATTCGGCTGATCTGGCTGGCTAGGCGGGTGTCCCCTTCCTCCCTCACCGCTCCATGTGCGTCCCTCCCGAAGTTGCACGCTCGGTCGAAGAGGACGACCATCCCCGCTAGAGGAGGACCGTTATTCGGTCAAGGGTATACAAGTAGCTGCGCTCCCCTGCTAGAACCTCCAAACAAGCTCTCAAGTAGACAGTTATGCCAAATAAACCAGGAAGACATACAGAGACAAAGAGAGAGGGAGAGAGGAAAAAGGTGGGAGGGAAGGAGATGGGTTGAAAATCATGATTACCTAATTCTAAACCTAGCGTCGTTAGAATATTAGAGTGCAGAGACTCTGAGTGGTGAGACAAGTAGCTGGAGAGGTGAGCAGGGGCAAAAGCACATGGAAACTTGTGAAATCTGAGTCTGAAGGCAATAGGAAGCCATTGAGGAATTGTGAGGCGTGACAGAACAGGTGAGATTTGAGCCTCGGAGCCATCTCGGGCAGTCATGTGGATGGACTGCCTGAAGTTCAAGATCAGCCTGGGTAAAAGAATTTGACCTCAATCTCTGAGGGTCATATAGCTATTGAATCAAGACTGCAGTTCCATATTCTTTTCTTTTTTTGATTTGGGGTCTCACTCTGTCCTCCATGGCTCAATCATGGCTTACCACAGCCTTGACCTCCTGAGATCAGGCAATCCTTCCACCTTAGCCTCCTGAGTACCTAGGACTACAGGCACATATCACCACATCCAGCTAGTTTTTCTATTTTTTTGTAGAGACGAGGTCTCACTGTATTGCTTAGGCTGGTCTCGAACTCCTGGATTCAAGCAATCCTCCTACCTCCACTTCCCAAAGTATTGGGATTAAAAGCGTGAACCATCATACCCAGCCAGGAATCTGTGTTTTAAACAGTCTCTAATGCTCCTGAAGAGGTAAATTTGCTTGGGAGCCACCACTTCAGTCCAAACCTTCACTTTACAGATCAGAAAACTCAGGGTCTAATTGAGTTTTTTTGTGGTGATAGCTTTTTTTTTTTTT